ATAGTCAAACGGTGTTCGTTTGAGCTAAATTTTAGTCAGTTCTTAGAGGACTTATGGATCTGCATTCCTACCAAATGTCATGCACATTTGAGCAGTAGTTTGTGAGATATGCATTGATTACTGAGAGGAACAGAATCTGTGATTTCTCTACTTGACTACTATCATTCTTTGTATTGGATGATTGTGTTTGTAATTGATGCCAATATTAGCAACATGGTCAATGTTTTGTCATTAGATAATCCTTTAGATGCCCTAGAGAAGACTCCTTGCACCCTTTTGTCCCTTGCTTTTGCCCTCTGGTATCAACAATGTTTGGGTAGTCAACACTACAAGGTTTTAGCCCTGATGCAACGGCCTAAAAGCGTTGCAATATACCAAAAATGGTTGCGAAAGACAAAATTGCAACGGAAAATTTTCGTTGGCAGGCGTTGCCATAGTAACCGTGGGGAAAGGTTTGCCCAACGACTCTCTTTGGTGTTGCAATAGATTTTTCCCCTATTACAACACCAGAAATACATATTGCCACGAACCCAAAGTGTGGCAATAGGTGTACTAGCAACGATATTTGGTGTTGCAATAGACCTTATTGCCACGCATCAATAGCATTGCAATAGATGGACCCTCTATTACCACGCTATCTCGGTGGTTGCTATAGGTGGAACCGTCTATTGCCACGATAAATATTTGGTTACTAGAGGTAGCATCTCTATTGCAACACTAAACATTATGGTTGTTATAGGTGCATCTGTCTATTGCCACGGTAAATGTTTGGTTGCTAAAGGTTACCTCTCTATTGCAACGATCAATACTGGTTGCTATTGTTGGACCCTCTATTACCACGCTAACTATTGTGTTGCTACAGTTTAGAGACTCTACTGCAACGCCTACTATTCCGTTGGTATGATGTTTTTTACAACACCGTTTGTTTGTTGCTATATCATACATTGCAACGCCAAATTATTTTATCAACAGTCCATATTGCAACGCTTTGTTTGCTTCAAACAATAATTGCATGCCGAACAATATATGATGAAAGAAGCATTTAGACATCCATTAATCCAAAATATGCTTTGTTCATACAAATCATTAATGAAACCATCCAATGTCAAACTTAGTCGATAACACACGTACAACAACTGAAACACATAAGGTATCCGACTCACACTAGCTAGTTTGAACACATCAAAATGTAATAAGCTATGTCTAGCACTATAGCAAAGGTTGGCTTGACATTGACCATCCCATCACTTGTGCGCTCCACTCAAACTCTATGTTGCTCCTGAAAAAATCATTAACATTGATATATGCATCATGCAAACTGAAATTGTATTATTTTATCAACAAGACTGAAATTGAGCTAAGGATCTGTAGGAAAATAGCTTAGTGTAAATACAAGGGGTCGATTAATTCCATACTAATTTACTACTGGATGCAGCCACAAGACTTTCTTGCACCGGGATGTGATCAGCTTGGTATATGGAAAGGACCATGGAGCAGGTGATGCAGCATGGACTACAGCAGAAATATGAGATGAACGAGGAACAGAGTGGCAACAAAGAGCCTACTTCATCGGTAACTTTAGCGAGTTTTAAGAGGCAAAGGTCTAGCGAATGACAAGAATTGAAGCAACCTGAACTTCTGCAGGGTGTACATATGGCTTACCCAATCTGCAGGGTTGGCTCAGGGCCAACTTCCAGGGGATGGAAGAATCCGTTGCCAACATGTGATGGCGTCTGCTGTGGGGACTGCCGCTCATAGCCAAGCAAGTTGGCACTGTGCTCCCACACCTGCCCGTGCACTTGGCTGCTGGTCTCCTCCAGCTGATCATTTCCTCGCAAAACAATCACAAAGAGCACATTAATAACCTTGCAATTCAGTTCACAAATAAGGGATCACGTTGACAGCAGGTGAGCGACAATATAATAGGTTACTGTTTTAAAAATAATATCATAGTTTAACTGCAGTGTTCCTCATGCAAAACCTGACCAAGAAACACAATACTAGCAGTGTACATGATAACAGGTTCAGTTAGGAGCAATTTGTGCATTTCTACTGATGGACATTAAACTCATTTGTAGAGGACACCTGTATCTGAATAGCATATATATGGGTGTAGCTAGAGGGAGCAGATCGAGTGCTATATATATAGATCAAGTTCTTCATATGTGCCTTTAGCTCAAATCTACTGACTTGAAACTTAAAAGCAATATAAGATCAGAAGAATTAACGTGTATATGCAACATAAAAGGGCTAGTATTTTTTTTTTGAACAATTAAAAGGGCTAGTAATAAGGGGAACATACCTTTCTTCTAAGGCACTTATTTGCTTCGCACAGCATTTGCTCCTGGAAAATGGTTAAGTGACATCATTAGTTTGAACAGTACTGTACACACGTGCTTTCCTGAGGAGAAATGAACTAAGAATATTCCTATGGCTAGTAATCATAGTCAATTGTATGTTAAGAACATACCCTTCTCTGAAGATCAGTGAGCTGATCAAGCATATGTTGTGTCTGCAAAAACAAAACTTTGATCAGCTAGCATTTTATTAGGTATATGATACTGTATCGTTCAGTCTTAAAGCTATATGTACATACAAAATTCCAGGATGACATAATTAAGGAACATTAAGTGTTGAAAATACAAAGGTCAATCAGGAATGTATCCACCTATGCCGTATCCCAGAGTCGAGACCCCAAAATCGTATATGAGTTGGAATTTTAACCAGCTCCTTCACTTCTGCAAGCCGGCCAGCAGTTTTTCTGCCACTCATGCTTCACTTGCTCTGAACTTCTGATTTATGCTTGTGATAAGCTATCAGGTAACTCCCTTTCGAAAGAAATATTAGCTCAGGCAACTCTGAACTTTCTGTCATCGCTTTTAATCCTCACCAACGATGGCCATCCAGAGTGCCGCTGAAGCATTCAGGTAACAATGTCCAGGAGCAGCAACGTGACTGAAGCTTGAGCAACTGTGATCACGAGCGAATCACAGCGAAACGGTGCTCGTTAATTCAGAGAGCAGCGAAAAAAAAAATCAGTATTGAACAACTGATGGCTAGCAATTGCATTATCACCTGAAGGCTGAACCGCTGAACCTTGCGTTGCATCAGGAGAAGGGCCGTGCCGGCGTGGACGAAGAAGAAGCTAAACACTTACAATAACAGAAATAAGTTTATGAGATTAGGAACATACATGATCAAACAGGAGATTAGTAACAGACATGCAAGGAATTAGTAGTGTAAACATAACTAGTATCAAATTAAAAACGGTGCTTTATCTTTAATTACCAGAAGAAATGAGTGCAATACATTACATATTATGCGGGCTCCACTGCTTAGGAGACAGCACATAATAATCAGGTGTGTAAACAGTCAAAATGAAACCACAACTAAAGTTGCTAATCTACCACACTGATACAAAAGAGCAGAAGTAGCTGTCTACCACAAACATGCAAGGGTATCACAGCTAGAGCAGAAGTGCAAAGACAAGATAAAGGACATTGTAATATCAGTCACAAACTTATCAGGAATTATGGCGCCAATATGGGTGACACCAAAAGCATGAAACTTCAGAAAATTCGAAGTATCACCATAATCAAGAATAAGTAGCTGTCTACAAAGATGATAGGCAAAGTAACCAAAGAAATGCAATGACCTACCAACAAGGAAATGAATTTATGTCCAGATGGTGACAAGCAATCATCGAAACACTGAGATTTACCTCACTTCTTACCCTTGGTCAGAGGAGGCATTGCTTGCTGGTCGTTGTCAAGCTTCTTGCCATGACAACTCAGGCTTCGGACATAATGCTTCTCCTTCTTTGGTTCAATACCTATCAAAACATCATCCGCCATCTCCCTGGGCTTCTCTCTGGCCAGCGCAAAAAGAGCATCAGTCCCATCATTATCATCGGCCATATAGATGTTTAGAGCGAAGGCACACTTACGAACCATAGCTACACATAACTTGCCTAACACTAGGAAAATAAAAGAACTTGCATCAATAGTCATTGTTTACGTGAACTCGTTATTACACTATCACAGAGCCATACATCAAAGCATAGAGACATTACACTAATTGAGCACCACAGGAAAACTACATACACAACTTTGATTATAAGCTCCTGTATATTCCTTTTATTTAGAAGGTTCATTATCAGCACTAATCACTTCTAATGTCTAGAATTTGGTCGACCAAGAAGAGCTGCAAAAGTTGCTGATAGCATCCCAGTGGATAGGTGAAGGTATGCCACCAACAGATCTGTGTTTTACTAAATAGCTAAAATGACAATTCTGAACGGAGGGAGTACAGAGGAACTAAATAGCCAGTGTTTGCAGTGTCATAACAAGAGCCTTTTGTTACACTAGATTTGCATGTGGAATTTTTCTTCATGAGGAGCTTATCTATCACCTAATGCAACTGATTGTTGTTCTTGAAATTTCAACTTGGTATTTCTATGTGTATTGTACTCATCAACTAATAGTTTCCTATCACTACTAGAAAACCCCCCTGTAGGTACGCTAGTTTCAGAATTACAACGCTTTAATTCGTCTCTATGTCATTGTAGGCACCCTTTCATAAAGCGTGTTAGAAGTGACAGAGACCCAAAAAAATCACAGGGATGCACAACATATTAAAGAAAGAAATAGTGGTAGATGAATTCCTGATGACATGAAACAAGACAAACAGATAGTATGTCATCTAAAACCTTAGCCAATCCAAAAACATGAAACAAACAGTTGGTGAAATAATATTAATTGAATGGCAGATCCGCCGACGCCTCACTCGGGTTGGGGGGGGAGGGGGGGCGCGGGGCGGCGCTCGGATCTGATAGTGAATTAGATTGGCCAGAACACATGAAACGAAGAACACATGCCAATGAATTAGATTGGCAAGAAACTTGCACACATGATTGAATTGATCGGCCAGAAACTCAGATGGCATCATACCATGTGCAGATGAAGCGGTTCGTTTAAGCCCTCTCTGTGAAGGCGTCGACCATGGATGTTATGGCTGTGACAGGGGCTGGTGAGGAGGTTCGTGGCAGCCCTCTGAGCGATGTCGTGGACCGTCGATTGCATCGCCAGGCGTTGAGGACGGCGTGGCTCGGCACCCTATCGCCCGAGGCCCGACAGCCGGCGTCAAGGCAGGGTACCGCGGCAACCACGCCCGCCCTACGCCCCCCCTATCGCGACGGGAGGCCGGAGTTGGTGAATATCACTGCGGCGGCTGGTATATCTCAATCTACTCAGATGGCGACGGCAGGGCCACAGGGGGAAGCCAGGGGCCGGCAGCGGCGGGATGGGTGGGTGAGAATGGCCGAATGCGAGATGCGAATGGGGAGTTGCGGCAGGGGGCGGCGCCGCTGAGAGCCTGAGCTTTGTTTAGTTCACCCCCAAAATCTAAAAAATACTAGAGTATTTATCACATCGAATATTGTTGGGCACCGTAAGTTGGGGACCTAGGGTTTGTTAGGCCTGTTGCCTGTTGGGCCGATTGGGGTTTGAGGTGGGGAGTATTCTTTTGACTAGGAATGCGGACCTTTAGCCAATTCAAGCAAAATTCTATCAAAATTTTGTCTAAATTGTACCAAGATTCTATCAAAATCAGACCATACGATGTGCATAAAACTAAAAAGTCGGTGTCCACAACTTAAAAATTTGATGAAATTGAAAAGAATTAGTTGAAGTTGACTAATTATAACAAGTGACTACTTCTTGCAAATTTGGTGTGACTAGATATGTGTATGGGCCTCACTTCAAATTTTGGACCCTATAACTAAAAATCATGTATTTACACCTTAACAAATTAGTAAAATTAACTAAACTTTGTTGAAGATGAAAAAATTTAGTAGCTGGTACTTTTGTCCAATTTGTTTATTTAGATCAGTATGAGGGTCTCATATTCAGTGGTGGAACTAGGAGGGGCTAGTAGGGGCCATGGCCCTCCTAACCTTTGAAATTCTTTTGAATACTCCTGCGGCAGCATAGTAAAGTAACTATTTCTAAGTCAAGGGGTTGTTAAAAGTGCTTTATCTCTATGTCTTACCTTCATCTCGAAAGAAGACGGGATGCGAAGGAAGATGCAAGGATCTCTACTATCACGAAAGAAGACGGGATGCTAGGAAAGAGAGGGTGTTGTTGATATATTTTTGATATACAATAGACTACATATATGGAACCCTGACTACAACTTCTATGTTTCCACATCTCTCGTGCATTTCGGTGTCGTATTTAACTCAAACTTTTTCTCAAACTTGTACGCACCACAAGTTAAGGAAATACTAAGTTTCAGATTTTTCAGAGATGGTTTGCTATTTTCTATAGTTTAAATGAATTTCTACGTGACAGTACGAATTAATTAAAAGTTGAACTGTGGCTACCCAAGACAATCCAAAATGGTACCAAATTTTTATATGTGGTAAAAAATGTTTAGAAGTATAAAATACAATTTTAAGTTTGCTTCACAAAGTGCGTTCTATGGTAATACCAAAGTTGAAGCGCCCGATTTTATCTACACGCTGATGTAATCTATGGGTCCAAATATAAGTGCTCCAAATAGTAGAAAATAATTTTACACGAACAGTGCAAAAAGAATCATCCAATTTGGAGTTCATATGAGTGATATAAACTAGTTTAAAATTATATTCACGCTTTAAAAAGTGAAAAACTACTGTTCTTATGATGAACTTCACAAGCGGATGGTGGAAGGGTGCAGGTGCGTCTTCATTTCATTCATATATAATAAAGTGCCCAAGCTACCACAAAACAAATTGTACCTCACTGGTAGAGTCACAAGTTCCCCACCCTTGCGGTCTAGAGTTCGAACATTGCTTGTGTCTCCATTTTTTTATATATTTTCTGAGAGCGGGTCCCACTGGTTGGATTCCCGTGCTGGCCAGTATTTGCTCCCGCGCAGGTGTGAATGAAATGGTGCGGTGGGCGGCGCAGGCCACGGGGCTGGTGACGCGGTCCGGCCAGTCCTCAGTACGGTGGGCCCCATGGTAAGCGACCAAGACAGAACCGCTTGCCACGCATGTCATCACGTGTTCATTCTTTTTCTTTTTTTTTCTTCTATATTTTTTATGAACTTCTACAATTTTGAAATAGTAGATAATTTCTAATGGAAAAGTCATCAAAAACAAAGTCGTAGAACCCATCGAGATCTACAATTTCGGTTTTGGTCCTTTCTCCATCCGACTTTGTTTCAACAATTCAAAATTTGAATTTTAAAATATAAGAATTCAAATAGAATTTTGGGACAGTAAATGATTTCAAATGAAAATGTTATCAACAACAAAGTTGTATAAATCATCAAGATCTACAACTTTTATTTTGGTCATTTCTTTATCCGACTTTGTTTGAATAATTCAAAATTTGAATTTCAAAATATGAGAGCTTCGAATATATTTTTAGGACAGTAAATGATTTCAAATGAAAAAGTCGTCAACAACAAGTTTGTAGAACCCAACATGATCTACAACTCTTGTATTGGTAATTTCTCCATCCGATAAAATGGTAGTATACATTGTTCACAATTAGGTACATCTTTCATATTAATCACTTATAACTATGTGAGAGATGTATCAATTTGTGAATAATGTCCATTGCCACCTTGTTAAAATCATTTGAGTTTTTTATATGATGATTAGATAACAAAATCATGTTACCATGAAAAATTGTAGAATTTTCTAACAAAATTTAGAATTATTACAATTATTTAATCTTAATTTAGGAATAGAAGGATGAATTATCCGTAGCAAACAAATGTTTTTCCCTAACAACTCTGGGATATGGGATAGAGTGAAATGTATGACTATAAATATGTTCTTTGTAAATTTTTTTGACTCCTATTGGAGGTACGCACATTTCAATTTGGAATTACTTTCGGTAAGCACGCAAAAATTTATTTAAATGATAGAAAATATCAAATGAGTTCCAATATTTTTGAAAGTCCTACACAACAACATATACGTAGGCTATTGCTTGTTAAAAAAGTTTTAGAAAAAACAACTATTAAGAACAGAAATACCAACTATTCATGTGTTCTTCATTCCAAATCAGTTCATCTAACTAGACGGAATTATTACTTGGAAGAAAATTTCCCCAACTTAGCACAAATACTTGTTGTAGCCTGGTGGTTAGACTTCCTTGGTTCCTTGTTGAGGTCTTGGGTCGAGTCTCAACTAAGACACAATTTTTTTTCCCTCTGGTTCACTAACATGTTAAGAACAATGTCTTCCCAAACAATGAAGTCAACGGTGCATGGCTTCAGTCCAAGGTCTTGGGTTCAATTTCCTTTGCCAGCATCTTTTTTGCCCTTTTCACATCAATTCCCTTGGCAGATGGGCTCCACCTTGCAACTAGCGCCAGCAGGCCTGCTCGGACCAGGCGCAAGCGTGCAGCCTAGCCCATATTTTTTCGGTTTTGAATTTCAAATGATTGAACCAAACATGTATAAGGAAACATGCTAGAAAAAATCACAAATAGAACCATGATGTGGTGGTAAGGCATGCTCATCTTTAGCGGTAGGTCACGGGTCCGAATCCTCCTCACCCCCACTTTTTTGGTAAGTTATTCAGAAATGTGTGGAGCATTTTATCTATTGCAACCATTTTTGGTATATTGCAACACTTTTAGACCGTTGCATTAGGGGTAGTCTAATGTGTGGAGCATTTTGTATATTGCAACTAATTTTGTATATTGCAACACTTTTACGCCGTTGCATCAGCGGTAGCCTATAGCAACACAAAACAACCGTGGCAATATTAACATGATATTGTGACCATTTAGGATTGTAGTTACAATAAGTATTTAACAATTGCAATGCCACAAAAGATTATTACAACCCCAGAAAACCGTGGCAATAGGAACATGCTATTGCATCCATTCGAAAATCTTGTTGCAATAACCACCCTAGCAATTGCAACACCATGGAACATTATTGCAACCCATAATAACCGTAGCAATAGTTACAAGCAAAAGCAATCAAATCCAATATAGTTGCAATAACACCAAGCAATTGCAATGAAAACTAATACTATTACAACTCAAAAGTGCCATGGCAATAATGTCAACTAATTGCAACACAATTCTTAAATGGTTGCAGTAGCACAAGCCTGTTGCAATGACAAACTACACATATTACAACAAATTTAGTCCGTTGTATTATAGACACATATTGCAACCATTTTATGGAAAGGTTGCAATACGACCCACCTATGGCAACCAAATTAGTGGTGTTGCAATCATGTGGCGTGGCATTAGAGGTAGAACCTTGTAGTGCAAGGTATTCTACAAGTCAATTTGTGCCATTGCGAGTCGAAAACAATTTGAAAAGTGTCAAACAACATATTTTAGATTACGATTTTGAGTTATTAATTGACATTAGAAAGGAAGCTTTAATGTCAAAAGTAGTTGAGCAAGTAAGCTTTGTTGGATTGTAATTGTACCGTGAAGGAAAATTGTACTCAAGCTACTTTGGTAGAGGACTGCTTTTTGAATTTTGTGAATAAACCTTCGACCACTGCTATCCTCCGAGCATCACTATTCTCCTTTTTAGTAGCAATCTTTAACATCGGCTCGTACTTTGGTACTTGCTGTGTGTTTTTACCCAAGAGGTTGCATCTACAACCACCTAGATAACGGTTGTTGCTTGAAGACAGGGATCATCTTCAGTTTTTGTAAAGGTTCATTGAGTAGACTAGGTCAGGTATCACATTCACTACTCTCTCAATGGACTCAGATAATATAGTGTTCTCATTAGAGAAAGACAACTGCACACATGGAACTTTATGTAGCATTTCATCACTTGGCATCTGAGTTATTTGACAGTCACCAGCGGTGCAAACACCTTCCGCTGGTAGGCCAGTTTCCTAACAAGAAGGGTTTTGTAGAACATGATTGTTCATATACATGCTATATCTCCTAGAGAAATAGATAATTATGAGTAGTTAGTTTATGCTCTGTAGCACTCTCCATATACTAAGAATGAAATATTGTGCTATCTTGGATTCCTCCCAAAATAACAATGCTTCATGGAAGTCAATGAAGGAAATTCTTCAGACAAAATTTACTACGAAGAAAAAGTATGAGAAAGTTGTCTTGACCAAATTAGCACCTCTGATTCTTTGAAGTTAAGTAGCCTAATGCTATCACTAATGTTGGAAAATGGATGACATGCTTCTCTTCTCTTAAAAGTCTTTCGCACTGAATCTCGAGGCGAGATTCTCGTAAGGGGGAGGGTTGTAACACCCCAGGTGTTAGTCACAAGTTAAACAACGAGTTTGGACTCAAGTAAGTTATGTCAAGTGATGATTGAGAGCTCTAGTCTAAAATTTTTGAAGTGGTGATGAAGGTGTTGAGGTCAA